AAATAAAATTTTTTACATAAATGGCTTAATAAAAAATTATTTTCAACCACTCAATTTTCACTTTTCTTAATTAAAGTTTGTGACAAAGCCATTTAAAAAAATAGTGCTTCTATAGTGCACCTTGGGTGCATACCATTTTTGTAGACCTTCTTACATAAAAAAATCTTTTATTATTAGTATTATTTTATTTAAAACATAAATGCTTATTTAAATAGTAAAAAAATATTTTTTTTCTCATATATATGTAGGTCCATGGTGGACCTTAGGTCCACCATAAAATTCACTTTAAAAATCTTACTTTGTAATTTCGGAAGGAGTATTAAACTTCCAAATTTTTGTTTATATTTAAATTTTTTTTAAAGTCATTTTATTTTTCCTTCAAACAAAATACTCCGTAGGTAACTTGTTGAAATCTGTAGGTGTAAAATTTAAAAATAACACTTAGATATATGAAATTTGAATATATATGTTACTTCCTCCGTCCTGGAGTATTCGTACAGTTTTGACTTTTGGAACTGTTCATCTAATCACTTTGACTCATCAAATTCTCTCAATGTGTAAGCCTAAATATAGTCATGTGTGATCTTGTTTGATTTGTCTTAACATATAGATTATTAATACATAATTTCTATAACTTTTTAATATACAAATTACAAGATAAAATGGATTAAAGAAGAGTATTGGATGATGTGTAAAAATGAAAGTGGACAAATACTCTGAGACGGATATAGTATATCTTTATTTATACAACAAGATATAGTTGGTATATTTCAAAAAAGAGTAAATTATATAAAAGGTCCCTAGTTATAGGTCGTTTTACATATTTAGTCCATACATATCAAATATTACTAATTTAGTCTCCAATTATTATATTTATTTCCACGAATGGTCCTTTTTAAACATTTCCGTTAAGAACGTGGACAAAATTGTATATTCATACTTCTCTCTCTTCAATTAAGTTTCCTTCATTTTCTCATACTCTTTTCCATACTCGTCGCTGAGTTTGAATCTCTTAAACCAAAAACTTAAATGATCGTTCCTCTAGTTAGACAAAGAATTGAGAGAAAAGTGATGATTTTGGTTTGGGGTTTAAAGCTAGAAACTCAGCGACATGTTTGAGAAAGGTGTGCAAGGGAGGAGGGAAGCTTAATTGAGGAGAGAAAGGAGTGTGAATTTATAATTTTACCCACGTTTTTAACGAAAATGTTAACAAAGAACCTTTCGTGGAATTAAATATAATAATTGGGGACTAAATTAGTAATATTTGATATGTAGGGACTAAATATGTAAAACGACCTATAACTGGGGACCTTTTATGGAATTTACTCTTCAAAAAAGGTTGATTGATTAACTCCCCTCCCCCTTGCTTATAAATATTAAATACCACATGAAAACCTCACTCACTTTAACCAATAAACTCCATTGTCTTCTTTACCACTTACTTCATTCACATTATGAAGCTCCTCTCTCCATCTTCTTTTTCCTCCCCTTCTTCAACAATAATATCCCCAAAGCTTCTTCTCTCCTCTATCTTCTTCTTCTTCTTCTTCTTCTTCTTCGCCATTTTCGGCTCCGCCGCCGCGCATTCTTCTCCACATAATCATTCCGGCGCGCTGACGGCAGACGACATCGTCGCGGACGCGGCGGCAGCCGCGGCGGCGTTTAGGAACGCGACCGCGATCTCGGAGTTCCGGCTGCTCAACAGAAAGTATCTGTTGAATTGCACGGACATCAACCCTTACATTAAACTGAGTATAAAGCGGCCGTCCGGCGACGACTACTCCGACGGCCAGCTTCTCCCCGACGAAGAGTTGGTTACCGTTCAAGTTGACGGAGTTCTGTTCCCCTCTCCCGGTGACTGGGTTGCCCTAGTTTCTACTTCCCATTCTGAGTACGTAATAATTAAGATCACTAATTTAATTTCACTTTTTTTCTTTTTTCTTTCTTTCTATCTTCTCTTTCTCTTTCCTTAATTTTTGCCTTCAAAGTTGAGAACAAAGACTTTTTTCAGAGAGAATATTAGTGAGTAATAATAATGGTAATGATGGGTTGATTGACTTAGCTAATTTAATCACTAATTAAATAATATATATATCTCTCTGCGTTAAAATTAATTTTTCATTTAATTTTTCACGATCTTCAATTCAATATTTTGATTATCAATATCTCTATTTATATATAAACATATATTATAAAAACAAAATATCTCAAAGTTATGTTTCAAAATGAATCTATTAATATTAAATTTATATGAAAGTTCAATGTATTTTTTCGTAACATGCAATCAAAGTTCAAAAAGTTAATTTTAGGACGGAGGGGTATTAGATGTTGTTACATGAATAATTTCATTAGATTTATCTTGTAAAATATTTTGGAACAGAGAAATCGAGTATTTGCCTTGTCAAATTGTACGGAGTATATATCTTACTCTGTACAAATCTACATATTTTTGTTGTTGATTTGATGAAATACTGTTTCGATTCGAATTTAATCTTTTCATTTTGAATTTAAACTTCACGTTGTATATCTCATTCCTTCCAATTTTTTCTAATTTCTTTCAATTTTTTTCTGGCCAATTTATCTAATTTTTTTCTAATTTTGTCCGACATCCAACTTTTTTTAAAACTCAAACGAACAAGAATCTAAGGGGCTGTTTGTTTCAGCCTCTTTATGGTTCAGATGTCTGAATGGTTCAGCACTTAATGGTTCAGACTGCTTGTTCCAGCCTCTTAATAGTTCAGATGTCTGAATGGTTCAGACATTTGCCTCTGAATGGATAAATATTATACAGAGTCTGAATGGTTAAGACCTTTTATCTGAATTGATCAGACATTTGCCTCTGAATAGTTAAACAATATACTAGCTCTTAATGGCTTACTCGGCACTTAATGGTTCAGACCTATTACTGGTTCAGCACTTACCTATTCAGAAGTTGTCAAAAAGCCTCTAAGTTAGATAACATAGTTTGACCATATATAAATAATAGCACTTCGTAAATGATTTAAACTTCTAATTAACTTATTTTGAATTTTGAGAAAAAAAATCATACATATGGCTTATAGTCATTCCGTCGAAAAAAGAATGTCACACTTCACTATTTTAAAATTACAAAAAAAAATTGTGCATACGTTTTAATTGATTATTCGATAAAATAAAATATTATTATCACCTCTTATTTTATAGAATTTTTTATGAAGATTTTAAAAATTTAATTTTATTGTTTATTTTATATCAATTTTTAAATAAAGTGATTTGAAAAAATTTAAAATTTTGATGCGTAATGTGACTTTCTTTTTTAAACGAGACAATCATTGTGACCCTTCAAAATGAGAGGTCACAAGTTCCAACCTCAATGGAGACAATAACTCTATGAACTTCAGTAGGTTAAGAAAAATTATAAATAACATAATAGAGATAATAACATTATGTAGCCTTAAAAAATGTTAAATGAAACATAAGGATGGGATGAGTACTTTTTAACTACTATATGTGCAGTGTTTCAGGTTGTCTCTTAAGTAAGTTAAAGTACTCACAAACGGGAGATTTCAACAAACTTCCTCTGCTTTGCCACTATCCTGTTAAGGTAATTAATTTCTCCTCCCAACACTAGCAAAAATATCTTAAGTTTTGAAAATAATGTAAAATGACAAAAAAAAAACTTTAAATTACTTTACTCTTTATTTAGTAAATTCCATAAATCATTCTTTATAACAATGAGTTCTCTGTTAGAGGGGTATATAAATTCATCAGAAAGGATTGAAATAGTTTGTTTATTATTTTTGCTTGGCCTTTACAATAGGGAAAACATATAAATATACATTGAACTCTACTAAGTAAGGCCCCGTTTGGCATCAGCGTTAGAGATTAGTGTTAGCATTTTGAAAATGCTATCTAACGGTAGCCTTTAGCGTTAGCGTTTTCCGAATTAATCTACACCATTAATATTTTATCCAAAACGCTAACGCTAATTGAAAACGTTCTTCCCAAACAAGCCCTAAATCTAAAGTCTTAAACGTAAAGAGGGGGATTTTTCCTTTCTTGACTCTTTCCTTTATTTCCCTCGGAACATCTAACTCTTTTGAAATCATCGCGAACAAAAGGGCAGTCAATCCCAATATGTTTGGTACGTCATGAAACACTGGATTAGCAGAAAAATGGAAAGTCGTTTGATTGTCACAAGGCAAATGCAATGATTGACAGGGAATGAAGATGATAATAAAGTCTCTTACCACTTTAATTCACAAACAAGAAGTTAGTCATAGCTCGATATTCAATTTTAATAGAGGACCGTAAAACAACTTGTTGCTTTTTTGTTCATCACGAATAGGTGAGCCACTTAATCGCACAAAGTAACCAATTACTGAATGTCTAGTAAGCGAATAACTGGCCTAGTCTAAAACGCAAAAGCCATAAAGGGTGGGATGAGACTAAGAGGGTGTTTGGCAGTGCGCTGCTTTTAATAATTTAGCTTATGCTTTGAGTGGAAGTAATTTTACTTTATTTGGCATGTCAGCTTCTGCATTTCATCACTACTATTTTGTATACAGAACACCGTTTCGGAGAAGCAGGTATGAGATGCTTTTACCTTTAGCTTTTATGAAAATTACTTTATCCACACGCTAATCACTCCCAAACACCCTCTAAGAGTGAAGAAAAAGACTTTTTGACCCAAATATTAATTTCCAGTATAGTCCATAAAAGTCGATCTGATTGTGGAATATTTCTCAAATTTTGAGATTACAAATGTAATATTATTTTAGAATAAGAGATTATATATGGAATACTTGCGTTATAAAGGATTATTAATGAAATTTGCTTTTCGTTAGTGATGACAATAATGTTAGTGTATGCTTTGAGAGCTATTTTTTTAATAATTTTCAAAATTTTATTTACTAAATATGATAAGTGAATAAAATTAATCTCAAAATGAAAGAAATCGAGAAATAGAGAATGAACTTCTAACTTACTCCGTATATAAAGCCGAGGTAAGATAAGCAAGTCTCTTTTTTCTTCTGTTTCATCTTCGTTTTTCACTTTCCGCTAAATTTGGTTGCTGGTTTCTTCCAGGTATGAAAAGATGTTTTTCTTTTTTTGACAAAATCCGAAGTATTAGACTTCTTTTTCGAACAAATGCAACATCAAACTTTTTATACTATTCATACTCTTACATTATTTAATCATCCTTTGTGATCTCTAAGAAAATATAATCATGTTAGATTCTTCTCAGTTATAAATTTTCGTAATACAGTACCAACTTTTTTGTAATTTTTACTGAATTATAATAAAATATATTAAATATTTAATCCACCATAAAAAATGTGTTGGATCAAATGATGTAATGAGTGTTTAACACACAATTGAGGTTGGAACTTGTGACCTCTCATTTTGTTTGTAGGAACTAGGCTCTCAATTTGATTAACACACAAATTTAGACAAACTAAAATTTTTGTTTTGACTTTCTCTATTCATCGGTTCATCCCTACTTTAGTGCTTAAATTAGGCTTAATATATAGTCATAAAGTAAAAATGTTAAATGAAGAAGTTTTGATATGCTAAATCTTTATAACAATTATTTTTAGAAACTATATTTAATTTGTGCTAAAAAAATGTCATATTTTGACCAAAGAAAGTCAATATAGACTTTAATTTTGGGACAGAAGAAGTTTGAATTTTAAAGATCGCTTTTATAACACTTCGACTATTAAAATACATATTTATACATTCGAAAGATTAATTTCAAATATATCAAAAACTTAAAACAATACTCCCTCTGTCCCGGAGTATTTGTCCAATTTTGACTTTTGGAACTGTTCATCTAAGCACTTTGACTCATCAAATTCTCTCAATGTGTAAGCCTAAATATAGTCATGTGTGATCTTGTTTGATTTGTTTTAACATAAAGATTATTAATATATAATATCTATAATTTTTTAATATACAAATTACAAGATAAAATAGATTAAAAAAGTATATTGGATGGTGTGTAAAAATGAAAGTGGACAAATACTCTGGGACAGAGGTAGTAATATCTAACAATACTAGAGCATAAAAGTTTAGGAGCCTTGTGCAGGTGCACAATTTGCACACCTTCCAAGCCACCACTATTTGGTGAAGACAGGCCAAGCCTCTTAAGTTGCACCAAAATGAGGACAGATACTCAAACGGGGAAGGAAATCTTTAAAAAAAACGACTATGAGGACGTCTCATGTACTCAAACATAAAGGTTTCAAGGACTTGCAACATAACTAGATAAGGAACTGCTTTGTAATATGTAGTAAACATATGTAGTAGGAAGTTATATGCGGTGTATTATGTTTAAACTGATGCCTTGGTAATAAAGCATGTGAATTATGTGCAAAAAAAAAAAACTAGATAAGGAACCTCAGCATAGGGAACCTCAATTGAACAAAAAAATGCACATCAATTAGAATAGAATTTGAGATAAGATTATTTAGATCAGGTCAGTAGCATATTCATGTAAGATTAATATGTAATAAGAAGTTTGTGAGCAGTGGTGAAATGAATATGGATGCAGGCACAATATTTGAGTAGTGATCCAGATTACCTCAACCGCAAAAAAAAGAAGTGCATAGACAAATTATGCCTATTGCACACTTACAGTGCCACACTGACATTTCATGTAATCAACTTCAGAACAGAGATCGAATTTGTACTGTTTGCCGGTGGGTTTGAGACGCCATGTATCTTGAAGAGATCTACTCCTCTAAACTTCTCCAATCCCAGCAGCCCTTTGTACCCTCATCTGTCCAGCATTGATTCCACTGCCACATCAGTAAGACTAAAAATAGCATTTTTTTTCTAATGATCAAATGCAAGGAAAAAGACTTCAGTGTTCAGGTGGGACCAAACACACATTTCACTAACCACTGCATTAGGGGGGGGGGGCTCGAATGGGTTCCGGGCCCATGAACACAGTGTGTTTGGTGCTCCTGAAGCACTGAGAGTAAAGATTATGATTTCCCAACATCTGTCTCTCACAATTGCAGATGAGAGTAACGTGGGTTAGTGGGGATAAAATGCCTCAACAAGTTCGTTACGACAATGGAAGATCTCAGACATCTGAGGTTACCACTTTTACTCAAGATCAGATGTGCAGTAAGTCGACTATCATGACCAACCACTAACTCATTTCTTTCATTGTAATTATAGCCATATTCTTTGAGTAAGTCTAAATCGTTTACTGGTTGATTATAACTGGGAAAAGGTTCTATTCCAAAAAGTCCAGCCATAGACTTTGGATGGCATGATCCGGGATATGCCCATTCAGCTGTCATGACAGGACTCAATCCTTCAACGACATACACCTATACCCTGGGAAGGTATACTATGATAAGAAAACAAAAACTAAAGTCTTCTCTATGTTTGTCAGAATAAAATTACATTCATGTCATTTGTGTGTATGCACAACCATACTGCAGTGATTCAATTGGTTGGAGTAGCAACATCACATTCAAAACAGCACCTGCTGGAGGATCAGATGAGCTACGATTTATAATATTTGGTGATATGGGCAAAGCTCCTCGTGACAATTCTATAGAACACTACATCCAGGCATGTACTAGTACTTATCTGCAACTATAACAACTTATCTCTATAATTCAATTCATAAAAAGATCTACGATTGCAGCCAGGATCCTTGTCAGTGGTGGATGCTATGGAACGTGAGGTATCAGCAGGGAAAGTAGATTCCGTATTCCACATTGGTGACATAAGCTACGCCACTGGGTTCTTAGTAGAATGGGACTACTTCCTGCACCTCATAACTCCAGTTGCTTCTCGTGTTTCTTACATGACTGCAATCGGGAACCATGAGAGGTATATATATATATATATACATATATACATATATACATACATACATATATATATATATATTTATATTGGTTCACTTTTTTGAAACAATGTTGTGTAACTAACTAGGCACTCTATGTCATGCGTTCAGAGATTATATAGGAACAGGATCAGTTTACAAGACGCCAGATTCAGGTGGCGAATGTGGAATACCATACGAGACATACTTTCAAATGCCAACACAAGCCAAGGATAAGCCTTGGTATTCTATAGAGCAAGGAAGTGTTCACTTTACTGTCATTTCCACAGAGAATGATTTTTTTGTTAACTCAGAGCAGGTATTATTACAAGTTCTAAATGTGCACAAATCTCATCACTCAGTTCATTCAACATGAAACATAGCCATGGCCTGAACAATACTTTTCCCCATAAGAATCAGTTGCCATTAAATAAAGTGTTAGGCTCAAACCTTGCCCAGTGTAACTTCAAGATATTCAGGGATCACTTGTCTACTGAGTTTGGGACTTTGAGTCTGATATAAAACCGTGATGTGAATCTCACCTCTTTGGAATCATTTTGCGATGAGTTACCCAATTCAAGAAGTATCCGGATCTAATCCGATAGTGATTTATGAAGCTTCAACCCACTCGATTGTTTGGGGAAGCCCATAATGGGGGTTGGTTTGATCCATTTGTCCACACATTTTAGTTGTCAAACCTGGTATGGACTGAAGGAGTCTGTCCACATTAGTTGTCTACTAAGTTTGAATCTAATATATAAGTGTGAGGTAAAAGTGTAAAACACACTTCTTGAGTGTCCTTTAAAGGATGAGTTAGATCCAATATAATAGAACCAAAACAGACAAAAAAACATTGACAGATAACAAAATTTCTTCTTTGCAATGTAGTATGAATGGATGAAGAGGGACATGGGTGCTATAGATCGTGAAAGAACGCCTTGGCTAATATTTGCAGGGTAAAATAAGGACTCAGTGAACGTTAAACCTGGAGTCCTCCATACTTGTAAGTAACGAAGTCTTGTGGTATGATAATTGGCACTCCTCACATGGCTTTCTATAATACAGGCATCGCCCCATGTATTCTTCCATTTCTTCCAATGAAACGCAGCTAATTGAGAGCGTAGACAACAATTTTGTTGATGCAATAGAGCCACTGCTGTTAGAGAACAAGGTTAGTGCATGCATCAATAAACTCAGGCAGGACTGCAAACCTTATATAGGTATATCAGAACTGAAGTTGGGAAGTTTGATACAGGTTGATATCGCATTGTGGGGTCATGTTCATAAGTATGAGAGGACATGTGCTGTTTATGGAAATCAGTGCAAAGCAATGCCTGTAAAAGGTGGAAATGGAGAAGACACTTATAATAACAACAGTGCACCTGTTCACGTGATTATTGGAATGGCTGGGTATAGTTTGGACCCCTCCCCCAGCATTGTACGTGCACTCTGGCCCACCACTTCCCTGTCCCAACCCTTTCTTCTCTCATCTCTTCTACTGCCTAACCAAACACTGAAATTTCTGTGCTCAGGCTGAAAAATGGAGCTTGGTGAGAATATCTGAATACGGATATGCAAGACTGCATGCAACAAAGAAAGATCTCAAATTTGAGGTCAGATGTTTACAGGATATATGCAAAACAATCACCCTGACATGCATCTGTATAACTTGTCAGGAATATCTTTTAACATTTCCCGTTTAAATTTTGCAGTTCGTCAATGCAGCAACAGGGATTGTAAGGGATAGCTTCCGGATCACCAAAGATATCAGAAAGTAGAGTCTAATAGGAAAAATATCTGAATGCATTCAGACATGAATATTGTATGTGGCCAAAAGAAAATACTGCCTTTAATGTAATACACATTTTTTCGAACAAAGCAGCTATCTCTAGCCCGCAAATTTTTTATATACTAAAAAACCATTGAAACAGAAAAACTACTAGACAGAACTTATCACCTATTCACAACTTGTGTTGTGTTATGAGATTGGAAATTCAACCCCCCCCCCTCCCCCCACCCATTTCTTATCATCAACTCTGAACAGTGATCAAAATACAAAATACGTGCTAAATTAACTCCCCCAAATCAGCTTGAATATATTCTTGCTAACAGCAGCACTGATTACACTATTGCTCCGTCTCTTGAGCAATTCCTCCTGTGCTCGTATGTCACCTTCCTGATGAGAGACAAATGGAATGACATTATTGTTTCTTTCACTTTGTGCACGGAATGTACTTTGAGATGATTATTTAATTAATGGGTATTTAAAGTTTGTGGTGAACAAAAATCAACATTGGCAGTAGCATCTATTTTTAATTTTTCAAAAACAACATTTCCGTTGAGGGTTTGTATGGAAACTCATAAAATGAATTCTGTTCGATGGTCCATTGTTTTTTTGGAATTCATTTTTTGATTGTCCATTGTTTGGCTAAACTCATATTAATATTTGTTTTGCATAACCTATCCGAACATATTAATGGTAGAACAAACTAGGTAGACCAATATAACACCTTATCAAAGTTAAGGCATCACATAAAAGAAAAACAAGATACATAAAGATCATAGAGGAAAGAGAATAGAGAGCGCACCAGAAGAGAATATGCTTGTGCAAGAGAAAACAAAGTTGGATACATATCAATAACAGTGCAAGCAACCTCTTCTGTTACTTGTGCAACCTGCATTGGTAAGGTTATTAATTTAAAGGTACACACATCCACACATCCACCCCACCCCCGCCCATGCAAGCAATAATATTACTCGCTCCTGTGAAAATAAAATTTTAAAAAAATCTTTGTTCCAAAAAAGAATTTTCTCGCTTTCCTTTTTTGTCCATTCCAAAATCAACTTCCACTTTTCCCATTTCCTTTCAAGGAAAGAAATATGTGGCTCACAACATTTGTCTCTTCTAAAAAAATTTAAAGCACACTTTTCAACACTTCTCTTTAACTCCATGAGGTCAGAGTGGGAAATGCTTTTCCGGATAGAGGAAGGATTACTAGTTCAAAAAGGAGTCTTAATTGTAATACTGATTATACATTTTACTACCGGCATGGTTCATGTGACATCGAACCATGGTTCAGGTGACATAGCATGACCCGGGGCTCCTACGGAGTCATTGTTTATTAGGGCTCAGTCAGAAGCAACATCTCTACCCATGGCCATGGAGATGAGGCCTGTGTACTGATGTACCCGGGCTCAGCTCTACATTGCAAACCACCAACCACAGGTGCACAATGAATTCAAGACCCCAATCTCCAAGCATCATGATCCATTTTAGGCTGAACTTATTCATCCTAAAATAACAAAGGCCAAATGTGCAAACTTCTACCCCCCNAAACATTCTTTACCTTATTACACAATAAAAGGTCCTTGCTGCATTGTTTTTACCCCTAGCAAAAACTATTAAACAAAGGAGAACAAAACCATTTTCCATGTTAGTCATCATTAGTGCTCAAAAATTAGTCCATTTTCAAAACAAATCTTTGACCTTAGTCTCCTTCACGTGAGTGACAAGACAGAAGTTTGAATCCCATAATGTCAAAAAATCCATGTCATTTTATCTCACACTCACTAATAGCTCACCAAAGAAGACCTCTCACGTGATAATGCATGTAGGAGCACAAAAAATTGGGTGGAATAATGCACATTTACGTCCCTTTAATGAAGGTTGCGTGATAGGAACAACTCTCGATGTTTTGTGGCAACATGTGTTGAAAGACTCCCAACACATTTATTCCTTCTCCTTGAATGTGTGTGTGAAGTGAATTTTGAGTTTAATCTTCAATGCTTGTTTGTCTTCCTTCTATATATATTTCAGCCATTTCACCATGGTAATAGACTAATAGAATTGAATTATGAACTAAAACCCTTCTTTGAGTTATACCCATAGTTATGAATGGCGAGTAGCGAGTTAGGAGACTAAACTTATACACTAGTAGATCAATAATTTTTTGAGTGAAGATAACAAATCACAAATTAAGATAAGAGTGTGTATATCTCTTAACAACGACCTAAATTTATTCTTCCTTTCTCTCCCATTTACACTCCACTCTGTACCTTCTCGTAATCTTTTTTTTTCTTTTATAAAAAAAAACAAAAAGAACTCATACACTCACAACAAACTCCCCATTTTCGTCCTACCACATACATCATCTGTGAATCCGCCATTTTCTTATCTACTCGATAAGACCCTGAGTTCACCCCTATCATCTTGGTATCAGAGCCAACAGTTCAACATCCACCAAGGGACCCTTCACATGCCCTTCCCTCTTCAAAAGATCCACTTTGAAGACTTTCTTAAGTTTTGACAATGACTCAAATGACCGACAAACACAAACATTGCAAGACGAGGCTTTGGAAAATCTCCCCGAAATTCTCTCTGTAAATAATTGATCATACATGAGGTTACACTTAATATTTAAAAGTGAAATTTTCATTCTTGAAATACACACACACACACACACACATATATATATTTATAATGTGTGTGTGTGTCTATGTATGTATCTTTTTTGGGGGAAATATAGATTTTATAAGTATTTGCAGATGAAAGGTACAAAAAGATCAAGAGAGATAGATCCCTTTACAATAGAAGGTGATGAAGCATAATTATCAAAAGTTCTAAGAGAAGAAATAGTGGATCTAGAGGAAGCAAGTTCGTGGGCTGGCCCATTACTTTCTCTGAAAGTGTGGGTGAATGTTAACCGCCTAGAGCTGATCCGCATAGATATGAAGGAGATCGTCTCGGTGAGAGGGTGAGGGAGAGCGATATCCAGAGAGAAGATTTAGTATCTGCATGCAATCAACCTCAATGAAGCAATCCACGATCATGTAGAATGCTAGAGTCTTGGCAACTACAAGGGTTTCAGCATGAAGGGCATCCGTTTGGGGGAGAGCAAAGGATATGGCATGAATGGAGTGATCTGATGGTGATTTGACCCACTGTGTCAACCTTTTTAACAGTGCCATCAGGTAGGGTAATAGGAATGGAATCAGACAGGATTCTAGTGTTGTGAAACAATTTAAGATGGAGTGACATATGATCAGATGCACCTGTATCAACTATCTAATGACTCCCTGAACCAACATTATTGCTCAAGCTAAACAAAACAAAGGAAGGATCAAGTGCCACACATGAAAATTAGCAGCGGATAGTGAAACAGAAAAAATGAGCTGCAAAGAACGCAGGATGCAAGGATGGCAGCAGATTGCTTCAAGTTGGAAGTAGAGGTGGCGGATCTACAACACGATGGTGGCTGAGATTTTTTCATCAGAACCCGGCGGCCATATGCTAGGGTTTTTTAATCTCACATCTGTCGGCTTCCATTCCCAAGGCATCTTTTGGCGATTGACTGGACACACAGGCATCCCTAAGGTGATGCCCTATTTGACAAGGCAAGATAAAGCAAAGCGAGGTTCCACGAGGACACCAAGTGGACGCCATGACACCTATGATCACTATAGGTGTAGCCCATCACCTGTTATGCACTTGTATGTGTTACAAGTTTGATACAACCCACCACATCATCAATCTCCTTCGCATGTTCCTCCACCCACCTCTTTAAAGTGGCAGCAGTTCATTGGTTTTCACAGTTCTCCTTCCAAGCTGCCAATTTCCGCTCAACTTGTGCACTGTTAGGTTTGCTTGCATCAGGCAAACCTCGCACCGTTTTCGGCACCACAATCAATCCCAAACCCTCATTGTGACTTCATCCACAATGCACCATCCGTAGATACCTCAACGCAGCAGTTCGTTGGTTTCCAGATCTCTGGCTTCACTGTAGTGTGAAGTCTTTCTCTAGTCAACTTGGAAAACATTCTCCAAAGTCATTTCCGAAGTGTTTCAATGATTGATCTATTTATCTAAATTTGTCCATCCCAGTGCCTGAGGTCCATCTAGTGACAAACTACTTTGGGTTTTAGGTACTTTGCCACATCCATTGATGACTTATCTGTGTACAAATGATTTTTTTACGAAGGAGAACTTTGAGCTATTCCAATTTTTTTGAAATTATATACCAAAGTAAAAGAACAAATTTAAATTTTACATAGTGACAATGCTAGAGATACCGCTACACCATATATTTATTTTTTACCTACATGACTCATCAGGGCATGTTACGATCCAACAGTTTGGTGGAAACAACTCTCACCCTTTAACTTTGTGCAGATTCCCATTACCCATTCTGGAAATTAGTATTATTGCAACACTATTAGCAGATAAATCGCAGGCCATCTTCGAATATCAATAGTTAGATCACATTGTTCTAGTTAATATGTGCACTAGTTAGCATGTGCCTAGTTCATCTTGTTTAACTAGCTTTTATAAATGCAAGTTCTCTATATAAACTTTATATACATCAATACAATGTATGGTTTCCTCTTATTTCTACATGATATAAGTAGTTTTCTATAAATATGTGGAAGAAATAAACTATGTTTACCAGTTTGAAATCCTAAGGAGTAAATAAAAGAGTTGTTCACTTTTGGATTCAAATGTTATCAAACATGTGCCAATTTAAATACATACCTGCATGAGTTGGATGGCAAATACATCGGTAACAGTCACTTTTTCTAGATCTTCACACTTCCTAATAAATGAGCCAAAGGGAGGGCATATTTCAAGACTTTGATGCTCATAGTCCATTGATTTATAGTAATGATATATTGCTTGAGTAAGATAGCCATAATTCCTTAATGTCTCTCCCAAGCCAGATGTTCTTTGCACATTGAATCCATCTAAGATCTCAGTCGTAAAACAACTGCCAAGAATTTTTCATTAAAAAAAAGATGTAAGGAAAATGGTCTTCAAAGGACTTTTCATTTGCAATTTTGAATTAAAAATGATTGAACAG